CAATAATAGCGATCATTTAATTTAAAGTATTTCCTGTTTGTATGTGATTACTGGCCGCTTGCAAGTGTAATGACACCCTGTGGCACACTTGCAGAGTGTCAATATGCCGAAGTGGGCGTTTCACTTTTTTCACACCGACGCGTCAGTCAGTCTGCGGGGCTCGCTGATGCGTACAACAGTATTTCCCCCTCTGCACGGTGCAGGGGGAGAAAGAAACGAGAAAAAGAAAAGAAAGAAATGAAATAAAGAACGTGCGAACGGCTGCACCCCCTTCCCCTTTTCGCTCCTGAGGTCGATGGCGCGGTAGATAAGGATAGAGCAGCCCGCACGCCGGCCGGGGTGGACTTGCTGCTTGCTGCAGCTGTATAGTGCGCACAACTGCTCCGCGTGCTCCGCGGGAAAATAAGCGAAATACGATCGTAGCTAAACCAAGCCGAGCTGCAGTGAGTTTTTTTATTCCGTGCACGGTACGTGTTAAATTGGGGTATGGTATGGCACGGCAATTTCAGGGATTGTGTGGAGAAACAAGAGAATTTTTGTGGTTGTTCCTTCTTTTTGCGCCGGACTGCATCCTATATATACACGCCCGACGGCCCCTCGCGGGCGCATGAGATGGCCTATCAGTGGCGGCCCGTGGGACCGCGCGGCGTCCCCAGACCGGGCCGCTCGGGGGCCGCCCAGGGAAAGACACCCCTCGCGAGCCACACACGACTGCTTGCTACTCGCCAAGGTCGCCGCCGCCGCCGAAACGGTGCGAAATGCGCGGAGATAGTGTAGTTCCCCCGGATTCGGCGGCGCGGTGCGGGCGCAAGTTAGTTCGTTGTGCATAGTGATCCGGTGGTGCCCCGCCCCGCCCCGCCCCGCCACGCCCCAGTTGCGCATGACGCAACACGGGTAGCAGAGTGCAAATAGGCCCGGCAGCAGCAGCGGCGTGGCTGCGGCTCCACCCGGGCCACCATTATTCCACATTGGTTACGCCGCACTTGAGCGAGCAGCAGAGAAGGGTTCTTTCCCAACGCGATAAAACAGAGCCTAAATGCCGAAAGGCTTAAGCAGGATCTAGGCCTCCTCTGGCGCCGGGCCGGATCGGCGACCGGTACACCACCCGCGATGCGCCGCCGTCAAAGTGGTGCCTCGCGGTTACGAGCCAACGGGCGAGGCAGGGTGAAGCTGCTCGGAATTTATTTGAAGGTAATTTTATTATTTTCCACGTCGGATTCTTTGACCGAACGACAAATTTTCCTCGTTTCCATATTTTTAACTTTGAAATAAAGAATATTTTTTGAAGGGGGGCGCGGACATGGCCAATAAAGAAATTGCTTTGATTCAAAGAACTCACTTTCCGGGGTTACATTAGCTAATATGCCAATAGAAGAGCAAACTTCTTCTCATACTTTGGGAACGCCCTCGATGTTGGCGTGAAATTAACGTGAGGGTGCGAGTGAGAGGGGAAAAGAGACAGACGGACAGAGGCGGGGGAAGGGGAGCGGGAGAAAACACGCTCGTCAAAAGCGATCTGGCCGCGATGCGATGTCTGGTAGGCGTGCCAGCGCGGAGTGTATGAAGTACATGCTGCGTGATCTGTGCTGTTTCCTGGAGGGCCCGCAGCGATGTAGGATGAGTTCTATAATGTTTGGGGCACAGTCGGAGAGAAAGAGAGAGGAGAGGGAGAAAGAGAGTGAGAGATGGCAATTGCTCGAGCAATTCGATATTTATTTGTTGGGTCTGATTATTGTGCGAAAGACTATGAAGTCTTACAGTTGTACATCAGATCTTTTCCAGAGAAACGGACAGACACGCAGAGGCAGACAGACAGACATATGATATAACTACCTTCGCTCCATTTTTTGGTACACTCTGTGAGGCTTGCAGAGAAAGATTGAAATGAGGAGGAGGGGGGCACGTTCGCGTGAGCGCGCGGCCTAGGTCAAGGAGGGGCCCTTTGGGAAGGAACAAGGGGAGCTGGCGGATACGGATACGGCTCGGCCGGCACATGGGAGTCGGAGTATCCGGCCCTCCTTTCCTGCTCCTCGCGTTTTTGAATGGAATAAAAGAAGCCATGGTTGGTAAGAAGCGGCGCCAGTCAGTCGTCGGCGTCGTGAAACGGAAACTGGAGGGGCAAGGAAGAGTGCGGCAGCGGCATAGAGTCGCGACTGTCTGAACGCGCGGTCGCACTCGTAGAGGGAGGGAGGGA